AGGGCCTCCTTTAAAAGGAGGCAGGTAAAATGGTTTGCAATAAATGAAAATTCTGCTTTTTTTTTTTTTTTTTTTTAAGTTCTCTTTAAAAAAAATCTCTGCTTTGAAGATTTAGGATTTCTGCTTTCGCTTTTGTTAAGCAAATTTATAAATTTAGGGATGTTTTGTGCATATAGATTCTGTCATCAGTATGTATCTTGTTTTGAAGAAAGTGTTTTGTTGTGGATGTGTCATGCTGTATATATTTGTTCATATTTTTGTGAATTGAATACTATGTACCATTGTATTATAGTAACTTTTATAAAGCAAACCATAAATATACTGACTTTTCTTACAGAAAAAAACACTATGTTGTGCTTATTATTCTATTACAGTAGCATCTAGAGGCCTCTGAGATTGGGGACCCCATTGTGCTAGGCCTTGTATGGACGCACAATAAGAGACTGTCCCTATCCTGAAGAGCTACATTTTATTAACATACCCATGTGAATCTCATTGCAGGATCAGGGCCTATAAACATAGAGCCCGATTCTGTCACACTTTGTCACGTGAGTAACCCTGTTGACTTCGGTGTGACTGTTTGCATGGGTAAGGATCATTTACTTGAATAAGAGTTGTGGGATTGGACTCATACTTTGCACAGCTATAGCTCTTCTTATCTCAGGATCCCAAAACACACTAATTGAAACATCGATTCAGAGATTTTAAGGGACCATTATGATCATCTAGCCTGCATACATCTCAGCATCCCATAGAGATTACTGTTGGAGGCTGAGTTTGTATTATCGGTCTGTGACTCTTTATGCCATAAGGCTGGCAGGGAGCTATGAGCTTTTAGTTTGGGTGTTTTTTTTTTTTAATTGTGCTAAATCTGTAATGAACTTGATCTACTTTTTACAGTAGAGGGAAACAGATACAAAATTAAGAGTCTTGCCCAAGGTCACTGCCATGGGATGTATGTAGCCCATGTTAGCCCAGCAAGCAAAGGGTTAATACAAGCCCTGCCAGCTACTGCTGATTGGCAGTCTAGCAGCAGCTGGGAGGATAAAAGGGCTGGGAAGCAGAAGGGAGAGGCTGCTACAGAGTAAGTGAGAAGGGAACTCCAGTCAGTGGACTGCTAGACAACTGGACAACACCCAGCAAGGGGCAAACAAACCCACAGAGTGAAGAGCCTGCAGAGGCCCGAGGGAAGGTAGGAAGGAGCTCCGGGCATTGCCCAGGTCAGCACCCCTGACTCTCCTTATGTAGCTTGAGGGCCTGGAGCTGGAACCCAATGGAGCGGGCAGGCCTGGGATCCCCTACCAGCCCCCTGGGGGTTTCCAGATTCCTGGACCCCAGGGGTAGACTGACAGCTCCACTGAGCTGAGGGAACCAGAGCCATGCACCCCCTGCCCCCGTTTAGCCACAGGGGCCACCGCTTCAGTCCGACATCTAGAGAGTGGCAGACCTGAAGATAAAACCCTGGACTCCTTTACTCTCAGCCCCTTGTTTGGCCATTAAAGCACCACCCCCTCTGTTCATTATTGGCAGTATTGGCCCAAATGTGCTAGGGTTCCGTCTGTAGGAAGAGACGGTCCCTGCCTCAGAGAGCTTACAACTGAAACAGATGAAAAAACAAGCCCAGCGTGGCAGAAAAGGAGGCCATGAACTAGGGTTTGCGGTAGCAAATTTCATCACTTGGGTGAGATGCCGTTTCTATTTATACCTCCCGCCCCACGTTCTGCAGGTGATGAGAATGGCCTGGATTTTCAAAAGCTCCTATGGGAGAAACTGGGAGCTTAAGTGGCCAAAAAGGTTTTCTAAGGTTCCTAGGGCTGCACAAGACCATTTCAGAAGCAGCCTGGTGCTTGGGCCCAAGGGCCGAATTGGACGCATTGATAAGCCACCTAAGGGCGTGGTTCTCGGGGGGGGAGGGGGGTTAACTTGATGGGCTTGTGGATTTGCAAAGTTGTGCGAAGTCGTCCCTCCCCCGGTATTGTGCTTCTGAGATAGTTGTAGGGAGGCACAACGTGACATCTGTCTGCCCGTCATCTGTGTTCCCCTTGGGGTCCGTGTTCTCCTGCACATGCTCCACTCTCCATAACTACCAAGTTGTGAGCCGCTCCCTGGGTGACCTTTCTCAATCTCTAGTTGCTCCTCATTCCAAGCAGTTGGGGCAGGGAGGAAGGTACGAATCTCCCCAGACCAGTGGCAGAGGGAGGCAGGACCCTATCTCCACACAACCACCTCTCCCTTTCCCACCCTGGATCCAATGCTTGCCCTGCTCCAACTGCTTTGGGTCCCCTCAGAATTCTGCCTCAGTGAGGAAGGGCTGGTCTAGCCTGTCCCAGCCCGCCCCAAGGTATATTTGCAGGGAAAGGAGTGGGCTTTTTCCATTCCTCCCCCACCACTTCTTGTAGAAAAATATGTTGTCCTAGCCTGTTGGCCCTCCTCTCCAGCCGCTCCCCACAGCACACACGCACTCCTGAGAGGGGAAGGGCAGGAGGCTCTGCTAGAGCTGCCCTCTGACTGGGGTGAGGGGGAAAAGAAGTGCAAGACACTTCCCTTAAAGGTAAAGTGGGGGCAGGGGACAGTGACTGATACAGGAGAGAGAGAGCCACAAGAAATTGGACAGGAGATGCAAAAAAAGGGGAGGACTCTCCCCCATGGTTGGGAAGAGAAGCAGTTCCCCCAGGCAGTCAATTATCTAACCGCCAGTCAATTGAGTTCTGCCCCCCCCTCCCCCCAATAACCTCCCTCTTTGCCCCTCAGGCCACTTGATTTTCATCTGCCCATTCACCCCCTTTGATGGGTCACTTTCCCTCCCTGCCTCCTTCCAGGTGTCTCCGTCCTCTTGTTCTCAGCTATTTATGCAAACCTTTTTTTGGCAAATCCTGCAGTTTGGGGCTAAATGCTGGGAATTGGGAGCTGCAGGTTCTTGTTGACAATGGTGACAGAAGTGTGTGCATACTTGGTTCCAGTTCCAACTAACCTCTCTCTTGCCCAGCAGGGGCCTGAGCCTGGAATCCCCTCCAGTGACTCTTCCTGGCCAATTCTCTGGTGCCAGCCCACAGGGCAGGAAGAACACGTCTCCCCCGTGTCAATGCTCCTTTTGCGGGTTGTTGTGGGGGAAGGCAGAGCCAAACGTAACACATTATGTGGGCAGTGGGGACTGACTTGGGGAAACCAGTGACAGAACTGTGGCCACATCGTATAATGATCCATTTTATTTCCAGGTCAGGTGTTCGCAGATGAAATTGGTTGGCATTTGTGTTGTTGTAACAATATGGTCTCCTGTCCCTTGAGTTTCTTCCACCAATGCTATGGCACCAATTCTCTGCTGGCATAGATGGACACATCACCACTGAACTCAATAGAGTTGTGTCAGTTGACGGCAGGGCTGAATTTGGCCCCCTCTGTAATGAGATGTTGGGCAATGTAAACAGAGACTGTCCCGGTTATGTGACACTGACAATGGTTTAAGCATCTCTGCTAAAAGCAATCTTAGGAACTGGGGTATAGTATAAATAGTCAGTGATGTTTTCTTCCTCTTCGTGAGAACCTGGTGCCCCCTCCCTCTACTTAACCAAGTCAGTCACCCATCTCTACCATTTCCTGAGTCCCTTCCCCCTCTTAGGCTATCTGCCCTCTTCCTGTAACCCATGGTTTAAGGATGGGATCGCCAAGCATGGGAGGGAAGGTGTCTCCTGACCAGATTTTTTTCCTGCAGAGAAAAAACACCCATAGTCATGACTCTGACTCTGTTCTTGGTTCTGCCTGGTTTGCCGGGGGCCTGGTATCACAACCCACATGGTAACATTTTCAAAAGCGATAGGTACTTGGGAGCCTATTGCATGTCAATGGGATGTCAGGTTTCAGAGTAACAGCCGTGTTAGTCTGTATTCGCAAAAAGAAAAGGAGTACTTGTGGCACCTTAGAGACTAACCAATTTATTTGAGCATGAGCTTTCGTGAGCTACAGCTCACTTCATCGGATGCATACCGTGGAAACTGCAGCAGACTTTATATACACACAGAGAATATGAAACAATAACTCCTCCCACCCCACTCTCCTGCTGGTAATGTTAAACCAGTCAGAGAACACTTCAATCTCTCTGGTCACGCAATCACAGACGTGAAGGTCGCTATCTTAAAACAAAAAAACTTCAAATCCAGACTCCAGCGAGAAACTGCTGAATTGGAATTCATTTGCAAATTGGATACTATTAATTTAGGCTTAAATAGAGACTGGGAGTGGCTAAGTCATTATGCAAGGTAGCCTATTTCCCCTTGTTTTTTCCTACACCCCCCCCCCCAGATGTTCTGGTTTAACTTGGATTTAAACTTGGAGAGTGGTCAGTTTGGATGAGCTATTACCAGCAAGAGAGTGAGTTTGTGTGTGTATGGGGGTGGGGGGGGGGGGGTGAGAAAACCTGGATTTGTGCTGGAAATGGCCCACCTTGATTATCATGCACATTGTAGGGAGAGTGGTCACTTTGGATGAGCTATTACCAGCAAGATAGTGAGTTTGTGTGTGTGGTTTTTGGGAGGGGGGTGAGGGAACCTGGATTTGTGCAGGAAATGGCCCAACTTGATTATCATGCACATTGTGTAAAGAGTTGTCACTTTGGATGGGCTATCACCAGCAGGAGAGTGAATTTGTGTGGGGGGGTGGAGGGTGAGAAAACCTGGATTTGTGCTGGAAATGGCCCAACCTGATGATCACTTTAGATAAGCTATTACCAGCAGGACAGTGGGGTGGGAGGAGGTATTGTTTCATATTCTCTGTGTGTATATAAAGTCTGCTGCAGTTTCCACGGTACGCATCCGATGAAGTGAGCTGTAGCTCACGAAAGCTCATGCTCAAATAAATTGGTTAGTCTCTAAGGTGCCACAAGTACTCCTTTTCTTAATGGGATATCAGTTTCTCAGGTACTTGGCACTTTTGAAAATTTTACCCAGGGTTGGGCTCTCTCCCCTAAGGCTGCTTTTAAGTCTTTCAGACCAAGAGTCAGCAGAGCCAAGTTTATTCTGGGATGTTTTATTTTTTGATGTTTCTTTAGCAAACGGATGGGCTTTGTTCTGTTCTTTTGGCCATGTGTGTATATCGCCATCTGGGTGCCACTACTCTGGTAGAAGTCTGCATCAGTGGCAGGCCTCTGTCTCTCATCAGTATTTCTTTGCATGTGTGTTGCGGAGGCTTAGAAGCTGGGGACACTAACTGCAGAGCTGGTTACAGGGATCCACTTTTATGAGCATGACGTTTAATTGCAGCCAGGGGCTGATTGAGAGACCCAGGAGAAAAGGCAATCAGTCCCATTCCCTAGCTCTTATCCCCATCAGAAGATTGAGACTTCAAAGAATATTTCTGCCACAAAGGCTGAGTTAAGTTTTGCACTTAAAGCAGGGATTCAACCCGTTTATAATGTATGGACAATACATTGCATTCTCCCCAAAGTTACCACACGTACCCTTTGAGTACAGAATGCATTTTCTGAGAATGTACATGTTAATTAGCTTAGGAATTAAAATTAATTAGACAATAACTACATTAAAGTGGAGTTAAGGTTGAGAGCATATATTGGCAGTTTACGTTAAACCGCATTACAGGGACGTTGTAATTATCCCAAAACCAAGTGTTAGAAACCCAGGAAATTCACAGATAAGATTAAATTTAAAAGAAATCCGAACAACTAAGGTATAACATGCAGTTAGGGCACCAAACCTTAACTCTGCCCTCTTTTCTATAGTTAAAATTCACTGAAATCTTTATGCAACATGCAAATAGTTTATTAGGATTAATAGTTGTTTCTCCGTGTTATTCTTCATAACTGAAATTCCTCCTCAGCAGAAACCTGAACACTGCCCTGTAGTGGTGATTAAGGCATTTTAGTATTTAGCACCCCAGATGGGATTAAACTGATTTTAAAGACATTTGATTTTTTTTAACTCCCCTCCCCCTCCATCAGTAGAGGGCAGAGTTAAGGTTGTTGGACTGTCCTAATTACGTTGCCATACCATATCACATTTGGAATCCTTTTAAGTTTAAACGTAACTGCATTGGTGGAGCGTGAATCCCCCCCCTTGGGGGAGCATAGCCCCCTGCCCCTTATGCCCATGGCCTTGCCCCTTTTACCCACCAAAGTCCCGAGGGCTCACGCTGTTGCCGTAGGAGCCCTGGCTGAACTGCCCCAAGCACTGGCTTTCCTGCCCCAGCTGCTCCAAGCCACTGGCCGACCCAACGCTCGGGCCTGGGCCGAACCGACCCAATGCAACCTGACATGCCAGCCCAGCCTGGCACGCTAGCCCAGACAAAAGTGACCCAATGCGCCAGCCCGAACTGACGCGCCAGCCCGACCTGACCCGACCCGACGCGCTGGCCCGTCCCGAACCGACCCGACATGCAGGCCCAGCCCAACCCTACGCACTGGCCCAGCCTGACCCGATGCGCTGGCCCGGCCCAACCCGGCCAGACGCCCAGCCCGAACCGACCCGACGTGCCGACCCAGCCTGACCCGACACGCCAGCCTGGCCCAACCCGGCCAGACGCCCAGCCCAAACCGACCCGACGTGCCGACCCAACCTGACCCGACGCCCAGCCCGAACTGACCCAACGTGCCGGCCTGACCCGACCTGACGCCCAACCCGAAGTGACCCGACGTGCCTGCCTGACCAGACCCAATGCCCAGCCCGAACTGACCCGATGTGCCAGCCTGACCTGAACCGACCCGACGTGCCGACCCAACCCGGCCAGACGCCCAGCCCGAACCGACCGTGCGACCCAACCGCGAGCCCAGCCCAAACCGACCCGACGTGCCGACCCAACCCGGCCCGACGACCCAACGTGCCGACCTGACCCGACCTGCAACCCGACGTGCCGGCCTGACCAGACCCAATGCCCAGCCCGAACTGACCCGATGTGCCGGCCTGACCTGAACCAACCCGATGTGCCGGCCCAACCCGACCCGATGCGCCAGCCCAAACTGACCAACGCACCAGCCTGGCCTGACCCGACCTGACCCGACGCGCCGGCCCTTCCCGAATCAACTCGCCATGCCAGCCCAAACCGACCTGACGAGCCAGCCCAACCTGAACCGACCCGACACGCTGGCCCAGCCCGACCCCACACACTGGCCCGACCTGAACCGACCCGACGTGCCAGCCCAACCCGACCCGACGCCCAGCCCAAACTGACCCAACGTGCCGGCCTGACCCAACCTGACGCCCAACCCGAAGTGACCCGACGTGCCGGCCTGACCAGACCCAACACCCAGCCCGAACCGACCCGACGTGCCGACCCGACGCCCAGCCTGAACCGACCCGATGTGCCGGCCTGACCTGAACCGACCCGACGTGCCAGCCCAACCTGACCCGACACACCGGCCTGGCCTGACCCGACCTGACCCGATGCGCCGTTCCCAAACCGACTTGACATGCCAGCCCAAACCGACCTGACGAGCCAGCCCAACCTGAACTGACCCGATGCGCTGGCCCGACCTGAACCGACCCGACATGCAGGCCCAGCCCAACCCTACGCATTGGCCCAGCCTGACCCGACGCGCCGGCCCAGCCCAACCTGACCCGACCCCCAGCCCGAACTGACCCGACGTGCCGGCCCCACCCGACCGGCGCCCAGCCCGAACTGACCCGATGTACCAGCCCACCTTGATGCGCCAGCTTGACCTGAACCGACCCGACGCGCTGGCCCATTCTGAACCGACCCAACGCCCAGCCCGACCTGACCCGACACACTGACCCAGCCTGACCCGAACCAACCTGAAGCACCAGCCCAACCTGAACCGACCCAACGCGCTGGCCCAGTCAGCGACGTGCCGGGCCAGCCCGAACCGACCCGGCCCGGCCCGACCTGACCCAACGTGTCGGCCCAGTCCAAACCGGCCCAATCTGCCATGCCAGCCCGGCCCAAACCGACCCACCGCGCCAGCCCGGCCTGACCGCGGGCCACTCTGAGCTGAGCCCCCACAAGCTTCAAGGGTGAAGGGGAGAGAGAGGTGGGCCGTCAGGGCGGAGCATGGGCGGGGCCACAGCCTGGGTTAGGGGAGGCTTAGCCACCTCTGGCCTATTATACCTGCCTCTCATGCTTAACTGTGAATTTCCTTGGTTTATATGCTTAGTGTTCGGCTACTGACCCAAATTATTGGAGATTTTTAACAAAAATGTATAGGCACTTTCATATATGGAAGTTATTGTGTCTGCTGCCTACCTCTTGCTGAGAGGCTCTAGATTAAATTAGTTTCTCCATCTGCTGTTAGTATGGTAAGGTTTCCTCTTGCATCCTGGTCATCTTCTATAGCTTGAAACAAAGACTTGAAATTTCCAGCACCAAATCCCTACATATGGGAAGAAAAGAACATTAACTGGCATATGGACATGGCAAGTGAATTTGTTATTTCCAGAGTCTCAGGAGTAAACCAAGCAGCCACAAGAGGTTTACTTACATACAGTGGGACTTCCTTCCCTAAGGACACAGAATGGGACTTGAAGCCAGGAACTTCTGCCATTGACAACTGCAGTGGTCACAGGCAAGTCATCTAACCTTCCCGTGCCTCAGTTTCTCTCATCTATAGATTGAGGATGCTACTGCTTACCTATTGCAGCTCACAGGAATCTTGTGAGGATTAATGAATTGAAGTTTGATGGTGGAATGTGCTACGCAAGCTGCTAATCATTATTTATAGTGTCAAAGCCATACCAAAGACTCCATCAAGAATACGACTCTGTGACATATGTATGAAAATGCCTCCCCTTTCCTTCCCACCTCAGAATGATAATAAAATTAAGCACCTAATTCTGGAGAGACAAGGGACTAGAGCAGGTAAACTCCGGAGAGTCTCTTAGTTAGGTCTGGAGCTGGTTCTATCTTTCTATTTCTGGTATATCCACCCAGCGTGTATAGGCACCAAATAGAGCAATAAAGAGAATTCTCCACTGAGGTCCAGAAACAGACCATTTTCTCCATTGGGAGGAAGTCTCCCCAGTCTGTTGTCTTACACGGTGCTCTGAAGGAGTGAGGCACTGACCCTTGACAGAAGGAAAGAGCTTAGTGGGTAAGTACCCTTTGGAATTTCATACCATTACAATCATGGTCCGGGACTGCCAAATATCAGGCTTTTCATCAGCAGCCTGGTTAACAACCGAGACATCCTTAAGGGACCTTGGCCTGCTCAGGCTGTGAGTTCAGTCAACCAAGAGCAACTTGGATTTTTAACGTTTCTTTTGTAAAAACAGCTTAGCAGCAGCATCTCTTAAAAAGCTTGGCAGCTCACAGGCCCCACGGGAAATCCCACCAGGCTGCTTGCAGCTGCCATTTTGGGGTGGCTGGTCTAAGGAACCAAGTCTCTGCAGCAGCTTTTTAATTTTTCAAAACTTTAACTTTAAGAATTTCAGAGCAAAATCCCTGTGCGGTCGCAGGGACATGAAACAGTCAAAATGGGACCGGGAGCACAATGCTCCTGCCTACCCCTGCTTTTTGGCATAGCTCCATTTTTTTAAATTATAATGAAAAATCTTAACATTTTCAGTTAAAATCAGCCAGAAAAGAACCTCTCAAGCCCAAACACTCAACAAACCTGGTGGTTGTGGCGCTGTATGACCTCCAGAAAGACAGTGGGTCTATCCTGAACGGGTTTAGTGAAGATCTGGAGCAGGTATCCTTTCTCATCAAAGTCAACTAAGATTTTCAGTTCCTTGGAAAGAAAAACAATAAAACCGATTGTTTGGAGAATTGTTGAGAAGCTGGAAGCTGGTGCTAAATAACCCCCTAAATCCACTAGAATCTTTCAGCAATATTGTGAAAAGTTTTTTGATGTCTGGTCTGCATCAGAGCTGCTCGAGTTGGAATATCTGGAATTCTGTGGCATTAGGATCTTTAGAGGTTATGATTTAAAGACAATAACGTTCTGGTCAAATGCCAATCTGTGGCGTTATGTCGTGGTTATCCAAAATTCCATCTGAAGTTTCAGGTGGATGCATTACTCTCCACTTCCCTTCCTTCCTAAATGATTGTCATGTCACTGGGTTGTTAAAGCAACGGTCACAATCTGTCCCTGGGAGTGACTGCATTCTAGCGGTGAGTACAGAAAACAAGAATTTGTTTTCATGAAAAATTTAGAGGTTTTAAGCTTGTTTTTTTGGGGAGAGTTTGAGACACTCCATACCCCAGAATAGCCAATTATCCTAGTGATTAGGGCATTCACATGGGATCTGGGAGACCAAGGCTCAAGTCCCTGTTCCAAATGGGGTGGGGCTGTCTCTCCCTCCACCCATCCTGGACCTGAGAAACCTTCCTGACAAAATTATCATTGAAACCGATTAATTTTCATGAACAGTTTCAGTTTTGGCACATTGGCATGTTCCAGAAACAAAAAGGTTATTGATAAAATCCCACCCAGCTCGAGTGGTGAGGGAAGAGATTGCAGTCTGCAGAGCTGTTTGGGACCCTCCAGATTGGAAAGTGTTATTGAAATGCCAGAGATTGCATTGTTTTGTCTGCATACACCTTGAGAACCAGGCTGACCTCCAGTTTGTCGATGTTTTCCTTAACCTTGATTTTGGCAGATTTCAGCTTCTCTCGCAGTTGCTGGTAGTAAGTGGATGGAACCGTCATAAACTCCATGCCCCGTTGTTTCAGGTTTGTGACCTGTAACACAAGAGTGAGATTCATTCAAGTGGTTCTTTCGCTCACCCCCTTTCCCACCCTACTGGCTAAAGCATGGTCCCACTCAGAGCAGCAAAGCTGCCGCTGGGTCAGGAAATGCCAGTAGCTGGTGCAAGGAGCTCAGAAGCAGGTCAAGTGGAGCCCATGCAGCATAGAGATCCTGATGGCAGCTCCCGATGCAAACCAGTCCATGTGCAACCCTCCTAGGTTAGCACTCATTCACGCAATAAACAACCACTATCTATCTGGCTGCCTCCATGGCTGCTGTAACAGAACCTACCCTTACAGCAGCACTTCCATGTCATTAAAAAATGAACGGGAAAAGCCAGACCCGTTTTAAAGGGGAAGGAGTTAAAAGGTCACAGTAGAAGTCTGCTGAATTCCTGGAAACAGAGAGAGATACACGGCAAGAAATTAATTGATGCTAACGTAACCCTGACAGACCCCGATCATCGGTGGGCCAGATCGAACCTGGGACCTCAGTGTATGAGACTCTACTGCATGAGCTAAAAGCCACACGAATGTTAGCTAAGGCTGTAGCAGACTCATTAATCTCTCTCTACATGGCCTCAGTGCCACTAGATGCGACAGAACGCCACATCCAGGAGGTGTGTGGGTTACACTATTATTAAGGATCTACAACCTATCCTGAAGGACGACCCATCACGCTCACAGATCTTGGGAGACAGGCCAGTCCTTGCCTACAGACAGCCCTGCAACCTGAAGCAAATACTCACCAACAACCACATACCACACAACAGAACCACTAACCCAGGAACCTATCCTTGCAACAAAGCCCGTTGCCAACTGTGCCCACATATCTATTCAGGGGACACCATCACAGGGCCTAATCACATCAGCCACACTATCAGAGGCTCGTTAACCTGCACATCCACCAATGTGATATATGCCATCATGTGCCAGCAATGCCCCTCTGCCATTTACATTGGTCAAACTGGACAGTCTCTACGTAAAAGAATAAATGGACACAAATCAGATGTCAAGAATTATAACATTCATAAACCAGTCGGAGAACACTTCAATCTCTCTGGTCACGCAATCACAGACATGAAGGTCGCTATCTTACAACAAAAAAACTTCAAATCCAGACTCCAGCGAGAAACTGCTGAATTGGAATTCATTTGCAAATTGAATACTATTCATTTAGGCTTGAATAGAGACTGGGAGTGGCTAAGTCATTATGCAAGGTAGCCTATTTCCCCTTGTTTTTTTCTACCCCCTCCCCCGCCCCCCTCCCCCGTCGTTCTGGTTAAACTTGGATTTATGCTGGAAATGGCCCACCTTGATTATCATACACATTTTAAAGAAAGTGGTCACTTTGGATGGGCTATTACCAGCAGGAGAGTGAGTCTGTGTGTGTGTGGGGGGGGGGTGGGCGGAGAGTGAGAAAACCTGGATTTGTGCTGGAAATGGCCCAACTTGATGATCACTTTAGATAAGCTATTACCAGCAGGAGAGTGGGGTGGGAGGAGGTATTGTTTCATGGTCTCTGTGTATATAATGTCTTCTGCCGTTTCCACAGTATGCATCCGATGAAGTGAGCTGTAGCTCACGAAAGCTCATGCTCAAATAAATTGGTTAGTCTCTAAGGTGCCACAAGTCCTCCTTTTCTTTTTGCGAATACAGACTAACACGGCTGTTACTCTGAAACCTGGGTTACACTAAGACTCCTCTCCTCTAGTCCATCTGATTTGAGTCCTAGATGGACAGGACAGATGGCATCAGGAGTTAGCCTGTGGTCTTCCAACAAGATTCTGTGTGTTTGAGTGCTTAATATCCCAAAAACTCTGTGTGTGTGAGAAAAAGCGAGAGACAACTTAGTGCTGGTGAAAGAGGTCAGATTGACAGGCCTGGCGTTTCTAATCCTATCTGTATAAACAGACAAGTACAGCATGCGCAGTGGTAACATGAGCATCCTCCACAAATCCCGCTGCCAATCTGCCTCAATCTTGACCTGGATGTACCACTTCAAAGGGCAAATCCTCGTGGCCCAGTCAGTCTTTGGCCCCTCTGCTGTGGTTGCTGACAAGGGGGACCGGTAGTGTCAATTGTGGTGGGGTTTTTGTGATGTGGACACTGAGCTGAGATCCATCAAACTCCTTTCATATAGAGCCACCGAAGAGATGGGTGTGTCTCTTGTGCTGGTTGGGGTAGGAGAATGCACAAAAGTCGTGCAAAATAACTAGAGAGGGAAGGTGGGTGAGGTAATATCTTTTATTGGACCAACTTCCATTGGTGAAAGAGACAAGCTTCTGAGCTTACCCAGAGCTCTTCATCAGGTCTGGGAAAGGTCCTCAGAGTGTCACCGCTAAACGGACCATGGAACGGATTGTTAAGCATAAGGAGTTAACACATGTTGCAAGAGACAATTCAATGTGCAGTGGATGGTTAACATCTCTGCAGCCATACGACAAAGGAGAGTTAGTGGGTTGTTCTGTGAGCCACCATTGCTGAAGAAGTTAAGCAAGCCCCATGTATACAGCTTTAAAAACTTTAGCTCTCACAGGTTAGCTCTGTG